CTGCTCGGCCTACCTGCTACTTGAGTGTTTTTCCCCAGCTGCTCTAAGTGCCGTGGGCCTACCCCCGCTACCTGCGTGTTAACCCCCCCCTGCAATCCTTCAAAGTCACGGCCACAGGTAAGTACCGGCCCTGCGGGGCCTTGCAACCAACAGGTACCCTTACGGGTCACACACACACTCAACCGTCAAGCACTCAGACAAGCAAGCAAACGGGCAGGCATGCACACACACACAGACTTGGAAAACACAGCAGAATGCGGGAATCACGGCAAGGCATTCATTCCAGTGGCAAATCCCAGAAATCAGCAGTGTTCTCAGTCTGTGCTTTGGCGGGTCATTACAATGACAAGATTGTTTCGTCGGAGTTGCACGGACTCATCAGGGGCTGAACCCTCGACAATCTGCGGTATCCCCGTATTTGATGGTTTGGGTCATGAACCCTTTGACCCTTGTTGAAGGCAGACTGTCCCAAAGTGGAACATAGCAGCGGGCAGCAACCCTGTGGAGCACCAGGCAACACAGTAGAGGCAACACGGCTGCACAATGCCAAAAACGACTGCAAGGAACGACATGGCACGCAGGACAAGCAGCACAGCAACCGTGTAGTGAAGCACAAGACAACACAAACAAGGCATCCACACCGCAAGGGACGACAAGGCAAGCAGACTAGCCGCTCGGCAACCACGGAGCGAAGCACAAAGCATCAGCAACAAGGCAACCATCCAACAAGGCCCGCAAGCAGCAAACACGGAAGGCACGACCAGCAGAAGGGCAATAAGGTAGCGGAGCAGCGAAGCGCAAGGCAACACCAACCACACGGCCACACCACACAGCGAACACATCAACCTGCAAAGAACCACATGCGAAGCAGGCGGGACAGGCAGCAGGGCAGCGGCGGAGCGCAGACGAGGCCGCCCACACATCCAACACGGAGCAAAGCAGCACAGGACCTACTCACATCAACCCCGCAGACAGTTGGTTCCCACCACCCACTGAGCCAGGGAGACACTCCGACGAGCATCCATCATCACCTACAGGCAACACAGACATCCCGAACCGAGTGGCCCCCCTCAGAGTGCAGTTGGCACTCCAAACAAGGAACCGCCGACTGTTTGGCACTACTTCAGGGTGCTCAGTTGGGTAAGTAAAAGTACTTAGAAAAGATCAGAGGGAGAACAGACAACAAGAGGAAAACAGACAGACATAAAACTGATTTTGTGTGTGTGTGTGTGTGTGTGTGTGTGTGTGTGTGTGT